ACAATTTGCACTTCACCTCAAGCGATACGTCAAAAGCAAATAATTTCGAGCTTGACTTCACTGCAAACGGACTAGAAAGGATTCCAGCTAAAGGCAATGCGAATTCGCTTGCCGCATTTCGGACAAATTAGCACTTTTTGACAGCGTAGACGGCATATTTCCGGTGAAGCAGGCAGCCAACCAAGCAGCCATCAGACTCGGATTCACTCCCAGACTGCGGCAGATGTATGTTGGCTGCCAATGGAACCCAAAGCGGGCGCCAGTGCATCGTAAAATATTTGTACAAATAGCCAGCGCAAACTTTATTTGACAAAAACACAAAGGGAGGCGAACAAAAGATATGAAATCGAAACGTTTCACGCCTGCTTGCAGCGCGAACCGACAAAGAATATCGGCAAACGGGAACAATAGGCCCAGACAGTCGACTGGACTACTGAATGCTGGGCAGCTGAGCAGCTGGGCTGCTGCAGGCACTTTTATGGCTTATCAGCCGGATAGACCAGTTGAGTCAGGTGTAATTGCGTCACTAAACGGTGCAATCGGCAAGGCAAAGTGGGCAAGGTCGTCGACGCGACAGTGACAACGCCCACAGAGCGGACGGAGGCGAGAGCCAAGAGGCGACTCGGCCATGGTGTGAACTGAGCTGTAGCCTGGCGATTTCTCGTTTCCAAATCAACTTGAGATGTTCTGCGGGCTTGTACCTGGCAAAGAGACGTGGGACGTGGGACATGGGACGTGAGCGGCTGCCAATTGAAGCAATAATATTCTATTGTCCTTTGTCGCGCGACGCGACAAGTGGCTGGCAGCGGGCACTCTCAAGGAGCGCTTGGCGCCAGAGGCAAAGATCCTGCAGTCCTTTGAGTGTGGCTATCTGCCGACTCTGCATCTGCGCTCGGACAGTAGCTGCCTGGCGACATGTGTTTGGCTGTGATAAGAGATTTGAGGCAGCTACCGTTAGCCATCAGCATACTGGCTGTCGAAGAGCCAATCAGCAGCGCTGCTCCACAGCTCGGCTGCTGCGGGCGACAGCCCACATTGACTGCGGACAGACCATGTCAAATCTGAGGGCTAATTAAAAGACTCSAATGTATATACATAACATATGTAGACATGCATAAATAGCTAACGAAATGCATTTATTAAAAGACCATCAACATTGTGGTTATTGGAGCCATAATCAATGGGCAGCCAGGTTGCATTTGATGCTGCCCCTGGAGGGCACAACATATCAATAAATCATGGATAACCCTAATTAACCCATGCGCAGAGAAAGGCCGTGGCTMTGGRTTGTCACCTGCACCTGGACAACCTGTCCGTTGGAGCATCAATATATATTGTACTACAGCAAGTTACACATAATTTATGAAAACAACAAAAAGAGCATCATAAAATAATATAAATGATATAAACGACACTGTCTGCGCCTAATAAGCCGCACTGCGAGGCGTTGCCCAGCCCCGAATCCTGAGAAAAACAAGCATAAAGATGCAAACTATGCGATAAGTCGTCAGTTCCAGTCCCAGACCCAGTCTCAGTGGACGTCGACGTCGACGTCTCTGTGTTTTAGGCGCCTGCAACTAAATGCTAAACGAGTTAACTCGCTGATAGAGATCTTTGGGTAAATACTAAGCTGCAGCTCAAGGTGCGTTGGGCATCATTAGGGCAACAGAAGATAAAATACAACAACAACAACAACATCAGCCCAGAAGACCCAAGCCAACCGACGATGATTTAATTTTCCATCACGCTTTCTACCACGCTAACGCTAAAGACGAAAAAAGTGTAGCCAAAAAAAAAAAATAAAAATAAATAAAACAAAATAGAGAAGAATCTGAAAAAGCAACACCAGCATGGGTCAGACTCGATTTTGAATGATCGATGGACTGTCGTTGAGATGATCACTTCTCGTGGCTGCCTAGCGGCTACTAGTTGAGATACTTAACGATGAGCCACCGAGCCACCGAGCCACCGCTCGACCCAGTGCCGRGCATTATAATTTGTTAAGATGTTTGCTTCGATCGTTGGATCGTTCGATCGATCGCTGCAACCTTTTCCCAATAGAAATGGCCCCCTCCTTCTCTCTCTCCCTCTCCCTCTACCTTCCTTTTCCTTTCCACTTCTTTACATATTTGTGATTCTCACGTTGTGAGGCTCCACTTTAGCTGGCTACCCCGGACAGAGCCTGTCACAAGATCAGCAATCCATAAGTATCTGTTAGATGCATTATGGCCAGGCGCCCACAAGTGCCATGGCCCGAGAGAGATGAGGCTACTGCTGATCACAGCGATCATCTAGACGTCGCCACCAGGGCGCTCTTATCAGCAGTTCGGCATCTGGACACATTACATTGCTACTTAAGATACATTCTCCGGGCTGTGGTATCGATTGCCAGCGTTTCGCCATATCGATTACAACGTCGCGACACGACCGACCCGACGCAGGGGCAGGCGCAGGCGGCTTCCCTTTGCGTTGGCCTAGCGGCAATTGACCTGAGCACAGAAGTCGATCTATGTAATCGATACGGGA